TACTATCGAACTTCGAATGCGGTAGAGGGATGTTATGAAGAACACAACGTTCAAGAATATAACCAGTGTGACTGGTGCAACAAATAAAACAAGCAGAGCATTCCGATTCCCAATCCAACAACTTCCGGACTGCCCATATCCAATAGTAAGCTCAGTATATTCGCAAAAATCGATAAAAGCTGCAACTGAGACAACCACAGCAGGTAAAAACCACCCTATAAGAATATACCGAACTAAAGTAGAGTGAGTCGCATGACTGGAATTGGCAAATGAGGACATTCCAAATGTACGAAAAATGTCAAATGCAATGATGCCCATCCATGTAAATGTGACTAACCATGCATAATGAGATATGACTGCCACAGTGATACATATAACTGCATTTTGCGTAACAAACCAGCTCACAACAAAGACAGTCTGAGCAGCTAATAAAGAAATGCTAAAATTAAGAGTTGTCTTTTGGGGGAAATTTAATAAGTCTGGATACCTACAATACAATAAAATAGAGACTATAAGTGATACTATGGATACTAAATAAGATACGAGTGTTAACCACTCTAAAACAAGTTTGTAATTATTTTCAAGACATATGTAGGCAACTAACCAGTCAGAACTAAGAACAAATTCTTTCTCAACATAGTTGAGGTATAACATTCTGTAAACTAATTTGTCATGATGGACTTCAAAATTAAATGACTGTAATGCTGTCAGTGATCCTTTATCACATTGTAGGCTATCACACACCTCAAATACACATATATATTGATTTATGTTATTTGTTTGAACTGAAACCTCAAGATCACAAGAAAAGTGTTTCCAGTATGAAATGTACATAGATGTAAACATAACAGTGTCATTAGAAGATACCGTGTAATAATTTGACACATCTTTCAATAAAACAAGCTTTATGTAGCATTTCTGTGCAAATTCTTCAAATATTGACGGGTTTGAACCTTCAACAGATTTTAAGTCTAACACAATACTATCACACTTAATGCCCTTGACCTTGGTTTTCTCAACAATCCACAAACCTTGTTGTAAATCATAATCAAACATAATTAAGTGAACTTTGATTTCGTTTGCATTAGCGTTGGTGGAAATATTGATTGCATCTATACTGAAGTTTTGTATTGAAGTATAAATGCATGAAGAGAGGTTTGTCTGTAATGTTTGTGAGAATTGTATAGGATTACCATTATATAAAGCGGCAAATGATAGAGAAAGGTAAATCACACTGGAATTAGATTCAGTATTTGGCAATATGTTGATCTCGTCACCAGTACATTGATATCCTAACAGGTTAATTTTGACACCCTCGTGACACTGAACTCT